ACCGCCGCCCGACGAGGCCGACGAGGACGGCGAGGAGGAGGAGGAAGAGGAGGAAGGGCAGAAGGAGCGCGAGAAGCTGCCGCCCATCGAGCCGGCGCCCAGCGCCGCGGCCGCGGTACGTGGGGGCCGGGGCCGCGCTCGGGGCCCCTCCGGCCCTCCAGGGGGGCAGCGGCAGCCGGAGCGGGGCTGGAGCCTTCCCCGGGGCGCTGCCCCCGCGGCGCTGCCGGGGTTAAGGGAAAGGGAGAAAAGCGGGAGGGGGGAAAGGCGTCATTTTCGCGGCACGTTCCTTTCCTCTCCGTGGCTTTCATTCAAGTTTCTTAAAAATAACAAGTGCGTCTGCAAGCAGTGACATAATGAAGCTATAAATTCCCCAGCTACTTATAGTTCTGTAGCATTTTGCGGCGGTCTGTCCGCCCGGTTAGTCACGGCGGGGGCTCGCGGCGGGGGCGGCCGCGCGGCCAGCCCGGCTTCGGGCTTCCCTCCCTGAAGGTCTTTTTCCTTCTCCCCTCGTGTTCAGGGCGGGATGACAGAACTCTCCGCATGCTGCTGTGTGGATGAAGTCGGGCGAAAACTGTGCAAAAGAGATTTGCCAGAAAAAAATCGGTTTTTGTGAACCTTATTTGAGTTTTTTTATTAACTGTAGTCAAAGAAAATTCTCTTTTTTATTTTTGTATAAACATAAAGTCCTCCTGGCATAAGTTGGATATCTTTTTAATACTTCAACCTTTAAGCTTATTATAGCCTAATGGAAAAGCAATTTATTATTTTTTTTACCAAACCTGGAGTAATAGTTATGAGCTTTTAGTTGAATAGCTGTGATTAATATCTGACATATAAGAAACTTTCTTTTTATACAAATTGACTTTAAGAAATTGAGTGTCTAATGTTGGAGTGCCCTAAAATAAGTGTAATGTTAAAGCAGGTGATTGTGGGCAAGCTGCAAACTCCCTTGCCCCTCTGTGTTTTGCCTATGATGTTTGGGACTCCTGCAAGACTTTGGGCTTTGTACATCGCCCTGAATTGGGGATCTCATGTGCCTAGTTTTGGTGTTTAGGTCAAGGAAGGAGAGTTTCAGGAATCTGCAGTAGGCAAGTATCCAGGGATCGTTTGCACCTGTGCAGATCTCAGCTTCAGACTCATAGGGAAATGTTAATCCCTTAAAATCCAGGTGCAAGTTCTGGTATAAAATGTGTCTGGGAGCTCGTGAGAAATGTATATACTCAGGGATTTCCTACGGTCCTGAAGAGTCCAGAGAGCATGAGATTTTGAAGTTACCGTGGAATGCCTGCAGACTTGAATAGTGTGTCATGGAGAGACAGTTTTGTGGAAAGATGTCATGGATGCTCCCAATTCCTTGTGTGTCATGGAAGAAATGATGATCCACATGGACCACCTAGGCAATGCAGATAGTCTTCTGCAAGATCTTTATAGGCTTCTTTAAAGAAAATAGTGGGCAAATGATCTGCTGAACCTTAGTTCTGACCCACACAAGCACCTAATTGCAAGTATTATAGAATATGCTGCTAAGTTTCTATTTTGAAATGGTAGAATGATTTTAATATTGATTCTTGTCTTAAATTCTCTAAACATCAAAAATGAGTGATAATATTCAGATGCTGTAAAATACTTTGAAAGTAAAATATATTCTCTGCTGCATCCTTATTAAACTGGAGAAAAATGTGTAATTTGATATGATGACTAATGAGAGAAACTGTCTTTTTAGAATTTTTTTTTGCATGTTCATGGTTTTCCCATTGAAACTCCCTGCCTTTAAAAACAAATGCCTAGTACAAATACAAAAATGCTCCTGATAACCTTAATTTCTCATTGTCTATATTTTGTCTATATTCATAGCTACTGTATGATGATTTACCTTGCAGTCTTGATAAAAACAGTGAGCCTCAGATATCCTGGCCTTTGCTTTCTGAAGAAAATTGGTGTTTTCTTCAATGCACTAATGACCCACCAGAGGTTGGCTTGGCATGGCGTGGCTTTCCTAGAAAGCCATGTGAATATGTGACACATCCTTTAAATCCAGCTCCCAAGTGCCACAATAGCTGCGGGGAAGGTCAGAATTTGAGTAAATTAATAGGTACCAGTAGGAATTTAGAGCTTGCCGTAGAGCAAGCGGGGTACGGGTGGGAGCATAAAGCGAACATAATTCTGTGTTGCACCTTTCAAGACTTAAATGAAAAGGAGTATTGTGCTTGGCAAGTTGGCTCTTGCATTGACAGCTGCTTTCAAGTAATTTGAGTGTCCTCTGTGTTGCAGATGGAGAGAGGAGGGAGCCTTTTACCCTTCCCTGGCCTTTGCCATGTGCTCAAGTGGAGGGTTTGCAAGAAACTCCTCTAGATGGTCTCTTTTTCCTCTTTTTTTTTTCCTTTTTTTAAAAATCTTTCCTCTTCCCCAAAAGTAGTTTCTACCTGTTCTTTACAAACCTTTTGATTTCCTCCCCACACCCTCACCATCTGGTTTAATTCCAGTGGTGACAAACCTATGTTTATGAAGTACAAGGCTAGTGACTCTCCAGCTTACTGTTTTTGGAAACTTTTTTTTTTTTTTTTTCTGAAAAGCAAGAAGTGGTGTGAGTTATTAATATGCACTTGGAGAGGATTAAAGAAGCCTTTGATCCACCGCCTCCCCGAGCGTGCTCGTCCCCACGTGGGGGCTCCTCTGCGGTGGCAGTAGGTGAGTCAGGCTCCCGAGGCTGCCCGACCTCCTCCAGAGCTTGCAGCCTGATGCGCTGCTGAGCACTTGCCCTGCATCCCTCTCCCAGGAGACGTCAGAGATGCTTCTTAATGAGCATGTAGTTTCCAGCTTTTCCTCCAGGGCTTTTTCCAGTGAGGCCTGTTTCCATATGCTTATTTAAAAAGTGTCAGAACTGTACTTGGAGCAGCATGGTGCAGTTGAGCCGTATGTGTGAGTTTGGGGGGTCTGCTCAGTTCTTGGAGAGGTAGCATTAAGAAGAACCTGCTTAAATGCCTCTACAACTGTATTATTGCAGTGGCAAGGCTGGTATAAAACATGGAAAGCTGTGGAAAGGCTAGGCCAGTCAGAAGGACTGTCATTAACAGCCTCCTCCATAAAAGTTCCTTTTTCGAGTTGTGTGTGAAGGCTCGAGAAAGTCTTCTACCTAGAGCGTGTGTGTTGCGGCACGGCAGATGAATGTCAGGTCTGGATTGCTTTGAAGTCCTCCTTTGGCTGCTTGTTCAAGATCCAGGCTTTTTATTGCCAGGTGCCAGAAGAAAATGCATTTTACATGGTACAGAATAGAAAATAATAATAATGGGAATTCTATTTTATTTTTGAATATTTGTTGCATACAAGGAATTTTAGGATAGAAGTTGAAACTCTGTAGTTTTAAAACTGGAAGTCCTGCTGATTATTCAGATTTGCTGTTTTTTAAAAGCCATGGGAAAATACCTGTTTGCACTGTAGGTTTTTGTCATTCCTGGCAGTGTTGCAGCGTGCGCACGCTGAAGCGTGGCAGGTTTATGGGCTGTATGACCCTTGTGATGATGCTTCAGGATGTGGTGGTGCAAGTGAAGGGTTTTCTCCAGAGCTCTAGCTACATACTTTGGTCAAAAATTATTTGTTTAAAAGGCAGAAATGCATAATTTAAGAAAAATGATAGGATAATGTGTTTATTTTTAGAATTCTGGTTTGAGGAGTTCCACTTTTGATTTGTGTGGAACCTCTGCAGTCTTACAAAAGCAATTTTCTTCATCAGGCAGTAGAGTGCAGGTGCAGGTACTGGATGTTGAGCAAAGCGATCATTAAGTTAATAGGAGGGTGAAAATCACAGTGCACAAGAAGCCAGTGTGTGTTGCCTCTCCAGCATGTGCCTCTGCTGGACTTCATCTGATCACATGGAGCTGAGGTACAAACTGAAATCCTTGGGCAAGTTCCTTCACTCACCTGAGCTTTGTGAAGCCTCTGCAGCAAATGAAGATGCTTGGTAGCAGAGCGCCTGGCACGATCCCGGGTTCCTTCTCCTCAGCTCGCTGCTTGAGCGCGGCTCTGCGCGGGTTCCTGCAGGCTCCTTGGCGGCAGCACTGGCAGATGCTCCAGCAGGGATTTTTAATGTTATGTTAGCAAGTGGGTGCTAGCTGGCCTTCCTTCAGGGACAGGTAATACTGAAGCTTTTGAATCGTTGGAGCTTTTTATCCAGGTAAGCGTCATCTAGAGTTTATTAGCAAGCAGCTCATAAAATTCCCAGGTACATGTTTCGAGCCTTGCGAAGTTTGCTTGCTTCGCTACACCAAGGATATTTTGAGAAAGAAGTACGAGGCGCTTTCCTCTTACACTGAGATGGATGAACAGGAAATCAAATTATGGACAATTAGAATATTTTTGAAAATATTAAAATCATATTGTCCTGTTTGGTTATCTGGAGGTGTTTTTGGACATGAGAGAAATGGAAAGGAATTCCATGATGTCTTTCATGATTGCATTGGGAAAAACTTGCTGAAACATTGTTTAAGTCTTATTTAAATATTGCCACTCTATTTCAAATTAAGTTATTTAAGTATTCCGTGTAATACCTTATGAGTAAGATTACTTTTGCAGTAATGCATTAGCCCTTTGTAACACACTGTCATCTTAATTACAGGGGTTGGAGAGAGGAGCCAAAAATCAATTTTCCACTTTCAGCAATTTCATCACAACTATCAACCAAAAGAAGGAAGGCACCGGAAACAGGAGTCCACCCACGCAGCTTGTTATACCTAACATCAAAAATGGTAAGAGAATAAGGCTCCTGTGTTACTTAGCTACCTATTTAAGAAGGTGCTCAGTGTTCTGCCAATATTTGTATTGGGCTAGTGCCAGAAATGTAGATTTCATTAAGTTATCCTGTACTGTACATTGTACCCTCAGTGAGATGATGGTCTCTGGAGAAGTTAGGTCATAGAGGACAAGGTGGATAAAATTGGTAGGAGACCTGGAGGATCGAATAATCATCTGTAGTTTTAAAGGAAATTACATATTCAGTAGTGTATCTGTAAATGTGGCTTGTCTAACTACAGCCAGATGCCTGGTTTCTTTAGAAATGTTGTCAGAACTATGTTAAGAAAATTTATACGGCCAAATTTGAAGAAGGATGACTTAGATGAGGCAAACAGAGGGGTTTTCAGGGCAACAGATAGTGAGAGCTGCTGCACCATTAATGATACAAAATAAACTTGTAGGCAGAGAATGGTGATTTCTAGAGACCTTTAAAAGTGAGAATGAAACTTCCTGTGATAAGATGAGGTAGAGATAATTGAAAGATTAAAAAGTGGATCTTGGTGTTCAGGATGGTGGGCTCAAATCATGAATTCTAATCAAATGATACTGTGGTTAGACCTGAAACAAAAAAACAAAGATGCTAAAATGTTGAAACAGATTTTGTGTGAGGATATGGGATTTTGGTAACTTCAGACTTCTAAGAAAAAAACATATAAACATTTGTTAGTTTTGAATGAGCTGTGTTTGCAGTAGCTGGTCTTGCCTCTGGGCAGGTTCATTTCAGTTTCAATATTTTCTGATTCTTTAAGTCTTTGTCTTTATAGCACTTTTGAGTGAATTTGAAACTGGAAATCAAGATTGCATTAATTAATCAAAATAATGAGCTTGAAGCAAATGGTCAGATTTGAACAAATGGACAATTTGTGGAGAAATTGTCAGTTTCAAACTTGAAAGAAGTGGCTAAATAATTGTGGGATTGGATCTTCTAATAAGACAGTTCCTGCTGTAATACTTGCTAGCTGTACTGCATGTGTGAGTCAATGTAAAAACTGGTTTTGGTAGCTTTGGATACTGAATAGGGAGGTGCTTGCTGCCTCAAAAAAAATGATAAAGGAAGCAGTTGTTTATAAATGACATCATTTGTTTTAATGTGTGTGACCTGGGCAGGATTTTATATGCTCAAGTCATTTTGTAACATGCAAAGTAAAGACAGGCCACTGGAAAGGGCCATTCAAAGATCTTCCCGCTGTTGGGTGCTTTCCCAAGGGGAAAGCAGAAGCAGAGCGCTTGAAGGTGATGCTGCAAAGCAGAGCCCCGCTGATTGCAATGAATGTTGGAATTCCAGTCTCAGGAAAACCACCTTCCTGTAGCCTTTCCACTTCCCTGTGTTATTTTAAAGAAAAGCCTGCATATGTGAAATGTATGTGAGCAGTTAAATTGTTATCTGAATGAGCTCTGAGAAAAATCAAATGTCTTGCCTCTTCAAATCAGAGCAATATTTACCTCAGAAACTAAAAATGACCACTGGACTAGTCCACTGTTCTAGCATTTTTAACAGAAAGATGCAGTAGTTTGAGACTCCTCCTTTTTAGTTGTAAAACTTTATGCTTCAGAGTAGTTGCTTAATATGTTCCCATGTTATGATATAAAAGTCTGCTTATCACTAAAATTTAGTAAAACTAAATTTAGTGTTAGACCAGTCAGGCTGAAAAAATACAGCACATTTCCAAATAGAAGAATTACTATTATACTTTTTTTTTATATGATCATTATAACACACCAGATTTTAAAACATTTCTTTTGGTATTCTAGAATTCAGGAATGCTCTTTTTTTTAGTAAAGTAAAAATATTTATATGCACATCCTGTATGCATGCATGTATATACACACACACTTGGAATGTTCTGGTAGGCTTGAGTTAGGAGAATATTAATTTCTTTGAAAAAATAACAGCACAGGAAAGGTAATGCTGATAGTTCAGCATGGAAGCTAGCATGAAGTTCATTTGCTTTATAGCTGCCATTAAAGACTGAGTTTATGGAATGAATAAGTTTTACGATGCAACAAGGATATAGCAAAAAAAAATGCAGTGAAATAGATATGCTTAATTGTTCTAATACTTTTATAATGTTATGAGTACAAGTAAGATTTGTTTGCTTTAAATAACTACTTTGCACATTTTAATCTGCCTGTAGCTGTGTCGTTACAAAATACTGCTGCTTAGATTCATTCATCCTGAATTTCTTTGTAGCATTCAGCCCTACTTTGCATCAGTGAGATTTTCTTTCTTAAAGTTCTTGGTCATCTCCTAAGCAGTCGTGCTCTGCTAAGTCATTTTTACTTGATTTAGCTGGGCAGACAGCCAGAAGTGACTATTTTTTCTTGCTTCGTAAGACTGTTATTGCTCACTACCAACTCACTACATAAAGTTTCAAGTTTCTCAAACAACTGAATTGACGAATCTTAATGAATATTTTTGAATGTCAGGCAGATAAATATATTTACAAATAAACTTGAATGATGGCAAAACATTGAAGATGACAATATGATTTAAACGTGTTATTAAAGCTCAGTTTTAGTATATCTAATTTCAGCAGTGTGTATTTTAAAGAAAATTGCAGCACTGAAATGGTGCGAGTTACCAGCTTAGCACCTGCAGCTGCAATTTGCTGAAGTGAGAAACAGCTTCTGTCAGCAGGCAATCCTCTGCAGATGCAGAGAGTCTTTTATTCATTTTGCTGTATTCAGTTGACCAAAACTCAAGTTTAATTCATTCAGATAAAGTGAAGACAGAATGGCAGTTAAATTAAAAGGATGTGTCTTTTATATATTAAAAAAAAAAAAAAAGAAATTGTAGTTTGTTTTATGTCAGTCCATCCTGCTTTCAGAGAAGGTTGTAGAAAGGCAGAGTGGTGCAGTTGTTTGATACCTTGATTTGAATTAGTGTAGTGTCTTCATGTTCACTTTGATTTTAATTTCTGCTTTTCTCTTTAAATGGCTTAAAAATTCCAGCTGTGGGTATGGGCAAAATTCCATATCTGGAATCACTTATATACCCTGGGGACTGTGGGCAGCTCTGATTTATTACCTGGCCATGAAGGCTGGCTGAGCAAGTCATGTGCAGTTCAGTTCTCATTAGCCTGAGGAGAATCTGCCTTTGAATTTGGGGGATTTTATTAGGTGTTAGCACTTGCAACTACTCTTTCTCTGCTGTGATGAACGGAGAAGGCGGAAGAGTAGTAATTATAATTTAATTAGCAAGATCCAGTACCACACAGGAAGATGGTAAGAAACACTGGGAGTGTTTTTGTGCTCACTGACCACTCGGAGTTTCCCTGCTCTTTGCAAAGACCTGGTTGTAATCTCAAGACACAATTTGCGGTGTTCATAAAGTATTCCTTTCCTTCAATTAGTACAAGTGTCTTTGCTCCCTGGAAAGAGCCTTCTAAGAAAAATAGTAGGACTGTGTAAGTGTTCAAAAGACATAATTGGCCAATAGAAGTTTCCTTTTTTTTTTCCTATTTCATATGAATGTATCTTTTATTAACTAAATATTTTTATTGCATGTGTGAGTTGCACTGTATTTATTGTTATTTGCACTTTTAAGTGCGAGATCTGCCACCTATTTGCCTCGACGTCAGGCAGAAGCAGCGCATGTCTATGGATGCACTGCCCCAGGAACTGAAAGCACCGATCCCACCTGAACCCTCCCTTCCCATCCGAACGAAAACTGTTAAAGATTTTCAGTAAGTTGTGTTGTTGTTTCTAAAAGTACACTTTTTTTCTTTGAACTTTCTCCATTTTTTACCTCTGGTTTGTACATTTGGGCTTTTTTGTTCATTTCAAATGGAGGACCCCATTAAATGTGACTGCCAGTTGGTTAAATAGGATATAGTAGCTGAAATTAACCCCCAAAATTGTGACATTGATACTGTCATTTGAGGAAATAATATATAACTTTGTGGGGGGGAGGGGGAAATATGACTAGTGGCAGAAGCTTTCTGGGTTAGACGTTTCTGCCTGCCATGCTGCAAGCCTGCCTATTTTGCCGAGGGGTTTCTTAAGAATAGGTAAATTCTTGGAGTGATATTCACTAATCCACTGAAAATGTGACTTCTGCTTTCCCTTCTTTATCCCTCACCCACATAATAGGATTATGATGCTCTAATATCCTTGATATTTTTACTAGTATGAGAATCCTGGTAGGGAAATGGGAATTATTACTAGGAAGAAGCCTGACTTTTCCATTTTTCAAACAGATGGAAAAAATAACAGTTGCTCCAAGAGACATATGAGCATATCCTCTTCATTGCTCTTTTCTCATGTTTGAAATATTGTGCATTCAGTGAGGAAAAGGAATGATTTTTCAGTTATTCAATGTGTGTATTTCGTTCAAAAGGATACAGGTATAAAAGATAATTTGGCAAAAAATGATCCTTTGCAAAAATTCAGGTGATTTGAAGTGCTGATACTCTCCATATACAGACTTTTTAATCTATTGACCTCACTACTGTGAACTATTCTTTCAAATAAATTATTTTTAAAGTTGTCGCTAGTGCTCCACTGATGGTTTATTTCTAGCAGATATTTTTATATGTATATACGTATGTATACAAAAGAGAGCCGGATGGCATCACCAGCACTGTAAACAACTAAGATGATATTTGTAATTCCATGATATGTGTAGATATTTTTGATCTCATTTTTTTTTCTGTTTTATTGGACCAAATTTCATATACAGTTCTTCAGTCTATTCTATTCTTCACCATAAATCTATTCTGCTAATGATTTGCCATATCATGCTGAACTGTGACACTTTAAATTAATAGTTCTGAATAGATGTTGCTCAGATGTCTCGCACAATCTACTCTACTGTTTTCTTGTAAGACCATGATTTTACAAGACAAGAAATCTGATCTTATATCTGATCTTATCTTGTCTGTCATCTTAATTTGCATACTGAAGAAACTTTAGAGTTACAGCATGGCATAAAAAGGAAGGATTTTTTTTTCTTTTTATTCTTTTAAGGCATTTAGTATCTGTTTTTTGGGAAGGTCGAACATTTATATTTAATTGCCAATGTTAAATTATTTCTAGGGATGATGTGGAAAAAGCTAAGTCATCAGGAGATTGGAAAGCGGTACATGATTTTTATTCTACATCATTCGATTCTTTCCTGGAGATAAATGCTGCATTTAAGGTAGAAAATAATTCATAATACTATTCAGCCTTTTATGCTTTGCATCTTCAAAATGTTTGGACAATCATAATATTAAGACTTTTGGCTAGTTAATTGGCTCAGACCAATTAAGATAGTTTTATCATGATCTCACCTGCTATTGTTAGACTTCCAATGATGTATTCATTTCAGATGGCGTAACTGCATTTCAAGCATACGTGTAGCTTTAAAATGGAAGTATTTGGTTTGTGACACTATCACTGTTTAGTGCTTTCTGTATGAACTGGTCTAAGAGTGCAGGTAATGCTGGGGCTAAGGCAAACCCAAGAACTGAAATTCTCTGTCCCTAAAAATGTGCAAGTTTGGCTCAGTGGTGTCGTTCTTGTTGTGCTGCAGTGGCCTACTCAGATTTGCTTGCTCAAGGTCATACCTGTGAGTGAAAAATCTTTCAGCTTCCTGCCAAATATTTCCTGCCTGTTACAGAGCAAAACATGCTTATGATATTTGATGTTGGCAGTAGGGTTTGAATTCGGGGAAAATAACTGCTGAATGGTAGTGGCTGTTGCTCTTGTCTGATGATGAATCTGCAGCAAATATGGAAGATGAGAAACGATACAGTTTTGTTATATAAGGACACTCATACATTTTAAATCTGTAAGGTAATAGTAAGGTGAATTTTGTCAGTTTGTAAGATTCATTCTTTAATTTTATCTTTCAGATACTAAGTGACCTAGATTCTTATGTTTTGCTAAGGAAAATGTTTATGCACCTATGTTTTGTTTAAACATGCTGTTAAGCTGTATTATTTTTTAAAGAAAGCTAAAATACTCAAGGTATTTCAAAATCAAAATGCTTCATGTACTGTTTGTAACTTGCAGAAAGATGCGAATCTTCCATTTAATACCATTGAAGACTCTGGAATCGATGCAAAATTTGTGAATGTTGTCTATGATGCCTTATTAAATACTGTAAGTAGAAAAAAAGAACTCGTGTTGTTTTAAAACATTTTAACAATTATTTCAGTGAAGAAATATGATAAGAAGCAATTACACCACAGATTTTTCTCAGGTAGGCATTATTTCTGAAGAATCTCTCAAAACACACTTAAAATGGTCCCATGAGAATTGCGGTAGAATCATGAAAATCACTCCTGTAAAAGGAGATGAAACTTTTGCCACTTGTGATGTGGCTTAGACTGTGGTAGATCTCAGAGGCTCCTTCTGTTACATGACTCTGGTGAGGTGTTGCGTGGTGGGGAAATAAAGCAACTGTGAGAATGGGGCAGCAACAAGAAGTGCATCCTGTGCTTATCAAATGGAAGGCAAGAATAGCATAGAATGATGGTCACAGTTTTTCAGCTCCTCGGTGAGTGAGTGATAAGGATATCCCTGCTTAATTAAGGTACCCTTGCTCTGTGTCAAGCCCTCTGTGACTACTGCTAATATGCAATATTCGTAGCCCTCTGTGACTACTGCTAATATGCAATATACCACTGCATATCATACTGTTCAGCACTGTCCCCTGTGGGATGTTGCATTATGCCAGGCTTGCACCTTAGCTCTAAGAGAAGGTGACAGTCAATTTTGCTCGTGCCTTCAGCGTGTTGTCTGGACACAGAATTCCCCCTTACTCCCCTCTCCTTAGTTTTGCAGCTGGCTAAGATATTTAGTTCTACTTGGCAGTACTTACTTTGCTAATTCTAGGTGGTAAAACTGACAGTATGATAAGGTTAGTTTTGTCACCATTTCTACTATTTGGCTTATTCTTCAGTTATGAGGATACCACTCTTAATTGAACTACAAAGAAGTTTGTCTAACAACATGAAATTTGATTAATTTTTTCCTCCCACCTTCTTTTTCTGTAGCCTCAAGATGTTCAGAAGTCAGTCCTAAAGGGAATAATTAATGGTCTGTTACAGGAATGGAAAGGGTAATTATAAGCAGTTTTTACATTAGTGCTGTTCCGCTATTTACAACACTGTGTTTTTGGGTGTTGGTGTTTTTTTTTTTTTTTTTTTTTTGTCTTTTATTCTACTATTTTGGCCAAAAAAAAGAAAATCTTCTGATATAACTTACTTGACTTAGGGAGTTTGTCTCCTTTAGGCAGGCAGGTCTGCTGAAATGCACCCTGCCAGGTAACACTGAACTCCTGAAAAGCAGATACAGCATTCCTTTCCCTACCTGAAATCCTAGGTCTTTGTGCCAAGGCAGTCTGTTACGCATATGAACTGTGAGATCAATTAGGGAATTGGTCCTGGATAAATTTCCTGCCCCCTCTTCCATCCCCTCAAGCTACTTCTAACCCAGATCAGTTCCTTGACCTGAAATACACTTCACAACATTACACACATGTGGCAGCAGCTCAAAACGAGGTACAGGGTGCAGAGGGAAATAGTCACAAGGCAGGAGTTTGTGAGAAGGAAAGATTTTTCAGCAAAAAGTACTAGAAACAAAAATGCATAGTTTGAACCACAAAAAGATGCAGCCACTTAGAGTCACCTGTGACCCAGCTCCTGCCTGTTCTTTTCTGTGCCCTGTATTGCCTGCTGTGCTGTTAGCACGTTGCATTTGCGTAGAAGTCTTGAAGCAGGTGAGCTTCAAGATTATAAATGATAGAGAATTGTGGCAGAAAATAACAGAGATGGGGGAAATATTTTTTCTCTTCTGAGATAGACAAGAGCATGGATTTCTTGCTTTTCATTTACCTTTTTTCATTTTATGTTTTTCTTTTTCTCCCCTCCTCTCTTGTGTTACACCACAAAAGAGAGGTGCTGTCCTAGCTTTCTCCTGAGCGTGGTGCACAGCAAGTATTGGCAAAGCCAAGCTGAGTCCTAAAATGCATGTTTTCATAGCTATCAATGTGTGTCTATAAGGTACCCATAAGATTCTGCTTCTTATTCCATTCATTCTTAGGCCACGAACAAAAGATGATATTAGGGCGTACTGTATACTTCTACAGGTAAGAAAAATTATCTTTAAGTATTTGTGTTTAATTTTATAATCTATAAACCAGTATACTATGCAAACAAAATACATAGTAAACTGTAATTGAGAAACTTCACATTTAATTTGATGTTGTAAGAGTGTAATAGAATACAGCAAAAGTCTAGGGTATGCATGATGGGAAGGGGAGCTTAGTGAAGGTTGAGGGGGAAATGGTGCATAGACTAACACTATGAGCTAAGGACACTTAGACATGCAGCTACTTCTATCATATTGGGGTCTGAAAGAGCAATTTTCTTTTTCCTATTTCCACCTTATTTGATTTATTGGCATGCTGTAACTTTGATCCTTCTGGAAAGATTCAGTATATGCAATTATTTTGGTGTTTCTGAAGTAGTGTTTTGGTTTATTCATCAAACTCATTCCAATTTTTTGTCTGAATTAACGTATGATCTTTGCCACTAAAGTTGTTTTCTTCTTGCAGCAAAGTTCCTTAAATTTTAGCAGTGTAGGTAACACTTGTCCACCTAACAGAAGTTTCTGCTGTTAACGTAAAAGGTCACCTGGTAATTAAAATTTTAGAGAGAAATTTTCTTCTCTGGGGTAATATGCTAGCTGTGGATTGAGAAGTATATGTTGCTGAAAAGTGGGAATGGTTTGGGCTCGTACATAAGAGGGAAAGTTAAGACTGGTGTGCAAAGCTCATTACTTGGAGAAATGGAATATACAGTATTTGAATAGAGAGAGAGAAAAAAAAAAAGCTGAGTTTTCCCTTTATTTTCGGGCTTATACTTTTACAATGTAGGAGTTACATATTTTTCATTTTGATAGAAGCTGTGAGTAATATTTTTTCATAGTCTTCCACTATTGCAGCAGTTTTCTGAATTAGATTTTATGGATAATTGTGTTGGCAACAACAAGCAAATTAACAACAATCCTAATGACTCTTTTTTTTTCCCTAATGCAGTTTATTAATCTAACACATTTTTTTAATCTTTTTCAGAATCCTCAATTTAGTAACACTTCTACTTATGTCATCTATGCTCACTTGCTAAGACAGATAGCAGCCTTAACAGAAGCTGACCATCATTTCCTAGTGCACTGGTCTAAAAAGTAAAAATAAAAATAAAAATAAAATAAAAATCCATTTTCTTAGGATTACAATTGTTGCTGTATTTCCATTTATGTTGACTGTTTTATATCTTAAATTATATGAAGGTTAATTAAGTTGACAACAGAGATTGTTTTTGTTTTTCTTAAAGCACATTTGGATACAGTCCGCTAAGTGATACTGATTTATAGATGCAAACTGTATATAATGCATAAAAATATTTTTATTAAAAATGCCTTCATTGCAAATAATTTATATAAGGATTTTTTTGTAAAGAGATATTCAAAATATGGTATTACTGCAAATGTCTTTTGCCTTTGTTTAACTAAAACTCTCGTTTTGCATTATTTCCAAAAGTTACTGTAGTTCTAGAGCGTGAAAACCACAATTGAAAGCAATTCCTTTCTTCATGCAGTTAAAAGGTGATGAGAGAGTGTAGTTAAGCCATTAGACTTTAATTAACAGGAAAAGGAATCTAATATCATCAGCCTAATGAAGTCATTTATGGGTATAATTGTCTAAAGATTATCTTTTAAATTTGCATGCGTGATGTCTACTTTAGAGTGCCTAGGGTTAAGGAAGTTGAAGCATCCTTATTAGAAACTGCTGTATCTCATAGGGAATCTGTTAATTAAGGATTCCTTCTGTGCAAGGATAGGGGTTACATACATAGGTAGATAAATGTGTGTGCCCCAACTCTTCCACACTCCACCCAAACCGTCCAAAAATTTTCACATTTGCTTAAAACTGTGGTAACTATCATTTCATTTGAAACAGTATTTGCAAATTAGATTTATTCTCATGGATAAGGATATAGCAGACCAAATTTTTTTTAAATGATATAATAGATTGATATTTTTAATTCTTGAAAAAGGCATTAGAAAATTAATCACTTAAAAATGGGAGCTTTTTCAATGTATCTAAATGTGTGAATGTATATACATACTCATATTTTTGCTGTGATTGTGGAAGTGATAGAGCATATTATTTAAAATGCACATTTGTCCCAAGTGCTTCAGTGTTCATTCTGTTCACTGAGAATATCAATTAAAAATGGGAATTGCTGAGTATTCAGGTTGTACAATGAAATAGTTCTGTTTTTATTATAACTTAACAAAATTAACATTTTGGCAACTAAAAGAACTATTAATGAATGCATATGTACATTTTTTTAAAATTGCAGATGTTCAAAGGCTTATTTGAAGAGTGCTTTTGCACTGAAGAGCATTTCTGTGTGCTAATATTAAAAGCATGCTGCTTCCAACTTTATGATTTTGTTATGTATAGGACAAAAGCATGTTCCTCAGAAAACAGTGTTGAAGTCTTGTTAGGATAGGCTTCATTGTAGGCAGCGATCACACAAGAGTAACTTGAGCATCTTTGTTCTAGGATTGCGCAGGCAAGATTCAAGCAGCTGGTGGACAGGTTACTGCAGTTTATTTCTTTACGCTTGTTTCCTGCAAAACCTGAAGAGTTTCCACCCATGATGAAATGTACCTGGTGGATTCCATCAGCAACCAAAGTCCTGGCTTTATTTAGTACGTTTTTTTCTTAGCACGTGGGGGCGTGTATGCATGCACATATGTGTATGTTTATATGGTTTGGGTGGGACAGTTTATACCTCTCTTGAGAGAGAAAGTGACAGGAATGGTGGTACGGTAGGAAGTTGGGTCAAACAGGATCCCCAAAAGCATGTTAGCATTTGTAGGGAGAAACAGGTATCTTCTGGCTAGTCTTCACACTCACCTGTTAATAACGAATTGCTATGGATAGATTCCTCCAGTGACAACAACTGAAGATCATTCAAACACAAGTCTGCAAGGGGTAACCTGTGGTTAGGGTTTTCCTTTCTGTACCCTTTAGCAAGCAGCCATCCAACACAAACAGCTAACTTGAATGGAAAGCCTGTAGAGGCTCTAGGCATAGGTGTGTTTGAAGGTAAGTGACGTTGTATAAGATACCTATCTTTCAAACTGCTTTTTCACAGATTTCACCAGAATATGGCATTAATCATCATCCATGGCCCCTTAACTCACAGTGTGTGTCACTGACTAAAATGGCTGGAATCAAGTGCTTTGGAGGATTTGCTCTTGATGTTCCAGAACAAAACAATAAAATCAAGCTTTTGTTTTAATAGGTGGACTGAACTGGTAGACTTTTTTTTTTTTTTTTTTTACGGCTGGGAGATCATTATTTGAACAGATATTAATTAGGTGACATGGCATTATGTTGTAATTCTGTGGCTAATACTGAGACAGTTTTAATAGTAGCTGATTTATTTTACAATATTATAAGGTCATTAGTGCTCAGAATGCCTAGAAACACATATGCTTAATCAGGGTAGCGTTTTAAAAGGCCTTTGTATTTTGTTTTCAGATGCTGCAAATAGTCTAAGTAGCCCTTCTATTATTTCATATACGGATTTCTATAATTCTACACTTGATCATATTGATCTTATGGAAGAATATCATAACTGGCAATGTTACGGAAATTCTCATAGGTAAGAATGGAAAACAGTTCTTTAAGTAGTATTTCATCTCTTTCACTATTTTTATGTATATAATGCCATATTAAAGATTGTCTTTTACTAGAAAAGACTCTAAATGTTCTTTAAAGACTGTGGATAGATTTGAGGTTCAGTGTAATAGAACTAATATTCCACCTTTCTAAATGGGATAGTAATTTGTTACTGTGATATTATTTTAGCCTCTAACATCATCACAGGAAACTATGTGTGCATTCTTAAGACTTAACAGAATAATGTATTATCCTTTTGTATGCTAATCTTAAGCATCTCCTTATATGAATCCCTGTAGTCCAGTGATTTCACGGGACATTTTCTGTTACTTGAAAATATAACAGAGATCTTTACAGCATCAAGGTTATAAGTATTTCTCCTCTTGTGAGAGACAGGCTTACTGCGAAACCTATAGAGAAATAAGTATTTAAACTTTATGCTGATGTTCTGCTCAGGATGTTAAAGAAGAAGAAAAAGTAACGTGATAGAGGATAGCAGTAAATGTACAGTATTCTCTATGTACTCTCAAAGTATTAGACTCTGTGTGATGCTCAGCTTCACAGTGCCCCAAATTTGGCTGCATTAGCTTGGATTTGCATGCATCTGAGAGTAGAAAAAGTAAACACACAAGTGCCCTGCAATGATAATATAGGACAAGATATTGGTGATAATTGAGACTGCCTAATGAAACTTTGCAACCACTGTTGGATGTTTGTATTCCAATAACAATGTTCTATATAAATTTCCATAAAGTAGGCAAAATTGGCAGAAAAAAATATTAAAGGTAGTATAGAAGACTTGCAGATTCTTCTTCTACAGAAGAAGTTGTGTAGTGTTTTACCAATTGCCTCTTCTCAGTGTCTTCATCATAATTGCAAATAATTTGGGAACAGAAGAGAGAGAGTTGGCTTTAAATTGAGTCTAATTGATGCTAAGCCTAGGTTTGCATCTTAAACTGTCTGCTTTCTTTTTTCTTTTTTAATATATACTTCTCAGTACTAACAGCATAAACTACTGACTTTAGAGATTTTGAATGCACCTACATAATAGTTGCCAAGGTAAAGACAGCTTTTAAATTTAAATGTCAAGTGACTTTGGTTACTTTTTCAGTTTTACTGAGTTGCTTAGCCACTCAGCTGGGCTGCTCTAGGATTTGGCATCCGGAATGCAAAAAAAGCCTACTGCACAGCAAGCCATGGGGGAAGAGAAGCTGTTGTATTCTGTTGAATACCGTAATTATTTATATAGTGTTTATGCATTGTCAAACAAAATATGTATTAAATGCTGCTGGCATCGTTGTTTAACAAAGTTAAAGCCTTACAGATTCACACACACACACAAAAAAAAGTTTTTATACATATATATATATATATATATGGGGCAAAAAAACCCCTATTTTAAAGAAAAAAATTACATATTTATATTTTACTTGAAATTAGGGGTTTTTGCTGAGCTAGAACTATTATCTTACTTTCATGAGCTAAATGAATGAAAGACGTACTAAAATAACCATTTACCCTAATGGTTTCTGAAGGTTTTCAAAATCTTTGATGTTATTTGATTGCAGTGGAATGTTGATGGGATCTGCTATTTTAGAAATACTGAGCGCCTGTGGCCTCAGATCAAATCACAAGGGACTGTGGAAAATAAATGTTTTTGAAAGGCAAATTTGCAGTAAATAAAAGTAAAGAGAAATATTTGTACTGTGTATCTGAGAATCCTACACCAAGGTAGATGTTTTGCTTGTACTTAAGGTGATATTTGCATTTTCATTAGTTCAGTGTCATAATTAAAATGTAGAATGCAGAGCAGGAGATGCTTCCCGCTATCTGGAATTGGTAGACTGCATTTTATTAGAACTATTGATCTGTGTTAAACAAAAAGTAGTTTGTTTAGGATACATATTGTAGCTGAGTAAAATTTCTGCTCATATTTTAAATGAATTGAGTTTTACTGAACAACATATGTATGTAACAAGAATGGCAACTATTTGCGAATGATTGTCAGTAGAGGGAAGAAGGGTGTTGAATAGTAATACAAAGATTTATTCCTCTTGTGATTTTTAGGAAGTGTTATCTTTTTTTTTTTCTTATTTATCATTCAGGTTTTCTTTCTGTCAATACCCATTTATTATTTCAATAGCAGCAAAAAAAGTTATTATTCAGAGGGATTCAGAACAACAGATGATAAGTATTGCACGGGTAAGTTATTCAGGAATATATGTTTGGGTCTAATCCATGATAATCTATTAAGTTTTTGGCTAAATGCCCAATAGAACGCTTGATCACAAATTCTCATATTTAGAACTACCATGAAATATACTGGAGCTGTTTTGTAATTATCAGTCTACAAATAACAATACTAAATGCTTTTAGTTTTTATCTTTTTTTTTTTTAGAGTGCTTAACTTCAGAATGCTCATAAATAGTGTTGGGGAACTAAATTGCAGTAACCTTTTTTTTAGGCTTCTTTGAGACACCAGCATGAACACTTTAGGTAGTAAAATAATTAAGGAAGTAAATGAGAATTTCTCCTGAGAATTGTGATTTATGCGTAAAGATATATTGGCACCGAAGATGAAGATGCAGCTGTATGTTTTCAAGACCCAGGAGAGGTCTCTTTCTGGGCTTTCTTTCCTTTCGAAAGAGATTTTGGTCGCCCTCCTCTCTTGGTGGCTCCTGCAGATGGTAGGCACTGTGGGTTTCACTGATGTTCAGCGTGGGAGCAGCACGTCCCAATTAGTGTCCTGCTGGACCTGCCCTCTGATAGATACGTAAAGCATAGGCCAGTTTGGGGAGTCTTGGGGGTATGTATCTTTAATGTTGCTCTTCAGGAATTTAGAGGATTTATGCTGCTTTCTCTTTTAGACTTCCTGGTAAGTTTGCTATAATATGGTGTAAATGGTGTCTGCAGTAGAAAAGAGATTGTATTGCTGTCCACCTTTTGCGAGTATTGAAGTAGCTGTTGTATTAGGATAATGCCTCTCATGCAGTATACTAAAGATTTCCTGCATTTAGTCAGTGTGGCTAGTCAGTTGATTTTTAAATGAAGATGCAAGTAATTTCTTTTCCATTTCAACAGCAAAGCCTTGTGGACAAAGTCTCTCGCAGACAGAAACCTGACATGAATATGTTGTTCCTAAATGTGAAAGTGAGGAGGACGCACCTTGTTAGTGATTCACTTGATGAGGTATTGCAGATGTAATTAAGTGGAGTGTTACTGCAAAGTAGCTATTGTACTGTGATTTCAGTGCAAGTAATTTAAATCTTTCTGTGCAAAGAGCTAGGAAATACAGCTTCATAATATTAAGTAAAAGTAATAACTGAATTTGTGTGTCAAAACAGCAGTGGTGCAGAACGGAGTTGGACATTCTGAACTTGTTCTGTCCTTAAGCTCTTCCATGGCTAAGCCCACAATGAGAGTGTATATTTGCATGCTACAGTCTGTTGCTGTGCTTGTTTTTATTTTTATCCTAATGACACTGTATATAATTACCAAATTATGGTAATATGCTCCATGGTAGAAGCACCGAGACAAAGTGGCTAGTCTAACCACTAGGTGAATTGTTCTAATTAATCCTTGAAATACTTTTATTCTTTTATTCCATTAACTTCTCCATCCTGTATTTTTTTTTTTTAGTCTTTATTAACTTCATATCTTCATTTTAAATTTCTCATGCCCCTGATATAATTCCTTTCCCTTCTTAAAAAGAGAGATGTGCCCATGGAAACTTTTAAAGTTAACAGTGAAATCTCATTGCCTAATCTACCTCCACAGGACGGGGGGGGAACAGGCGGTTAGTATTGAAAAATTGTGTCACATGGTGAAAAGGTGAAAACATATCAAGACAGTTCTGATTCTTCATGTTCAGAAAACATAAGCTTAAACTTTTATGTCAGATTAATGCCAGTCTCATCTCCTAAAATGGAAGAGACATTTATCTGTTTTTATGCTTTATCTGAGCCATTGTAGGTTTTTACTTATCACACTGGCAGAACTGTGAATAGCTACAAGACTTCCAAAAGCCAAAACCTACTCCTATTTATTTCTAATAATTTCTTCTGCCAAGCTCAGGCATGAGTAACAACGTACCATAAAATTCATATGTTCTCAAAGGAGTGAGGAATGGAAGAGAGCTTTTATTTTATTTTGTTTAAAACATGAAAAATAATTTGCAAAGGAGAATTACTTCAGCTAGTTAAAAGCAAATCAAGTGCAAATACCTGAACATACAAAACTTAGACACTTGGAATTTACTTAAGCAGCTAAAAACTGTAGTTGTTTTAGAACATGCATCATCCTGATTTGGTTTAAAAGCTTTTCCTGGAGTTGGACAGTAATTACTGTTTTAGAGAAAATTGGACAGCGACATTATCTTGGATGGTCAGTGCTAACTGTGAAAGGCTGTAATCTTACTCTTTGCAGAACTCGTGCATACATGGATGAAATGCTGCATGTAGTCTAGGACAAAGTAATGAAAAAAGGTGTTACTATAGTCTAAAAGCTGGCTTTGCAAGACAGTTGGTATTTGCTGGCAGATATCCTGTGCTGAACATGAATAGAAGTGTGTCCAAATGTTGACAATTTTAGTTACCACCTTACTTGCTAAGCATCTCCAAAGCAAAGATGCAGAGATAGGATGCAAAGATGCAGGGTTTGGTTTTTGTTTGTTTGTTTGTTTTCTGTCCCAAACAAACTAAATTCCAGAGCTTCTAGGATCTATTAGCTCATTAAGAGGCTGCTTTGCAAACCATTAACTGTCTCTCTAGTCTATGGAGAGACATTCTGTGCGAGTAAGTTGATGGTGTCAAGACAAGAGGCCGTGAGACCTGCTTTGGTAGGTAGGTACCTAGACCAATCACCATTGGTAGGTGATAATGCAGATTACTAGTTTAGGGCTTTCTAGTGAGAGCTGTAGAAATGAGGAATGTATTCTTTCTGTCTACATGTCTAGAAGTTATAATAATTTTAAGTCTGCTTTTTTTTTTTTTTAATCACCCTAATTTGTAACAGTTGGCAAGGAAGAGGGCAGATCTGAAAAAGAAGTTGAAAGTCACGTTTGTGGGAGAAGCTGGTCTTGATATGGGTGGCCTGACAAAAGAGTGGTTTCTCCTGCTAATTCGACAAATTTTTCATCCAGACTATGGTGAGTCCACATATTTGTTCTAAATTCAGGTTTTAAAGTTGTTCATTTTAAGTTACTACAGTACGTATGGAGAATATTTCAGTCTTTAGAATAGGAATAAGAATCTTCCCATGTAGTTTAATACGTTCTTTGCTTGAAATCAGAGGGTGGTATTCTTATCCCAAAAAGAGGGGGACATGTAGCTGGGGTAGGTGGCTTAGTAAATACTCAAGACCTTGTAAGGCCAAATGTACTTGTTCTCATCCACTGTTCCTGCCTCTTCTTTCTCATGTTCTGCTTTACTCTGCCTTCACTCTCCTCAAGTTGCTTTAGAGGATCTCCCCATATCTCCCTGTTTTTTAGAAATAGGTGCAGTTGGGTAATGTCACTGTGCAGAATTGCGGATTTCTAGTAAAAAAGGGTCTGTGTGGAGAAATAACATTTAGTAGTGAGAAACTCAATAGGAAACAATTTATCCTGGAGAAATTGTTCAGTAAGCTTGACAGTTTTGTTAATAAAAAATGTGTTGTCAGCAGAGCTTGCTAACTGATGAGTTTGGAAACATTTGAGAGTAGGTTTGTTTCACCAGCTTTGGCAGGTTTTCTCACTTTAAAGTGTAAATTCTTTCAGTGATATGACTATCAGCCAAGGAAAGGAGGAGAGTTGGAGTTGCTCTTGTCCCTTGGAAAGGGACTGCATAATCTGCTTTCTTTAATGCTTAAATTGCAAATAGTGGCTGCCAGGGAAGCGTGGAAGGACAGAGGATCTTGTTGTTATTGCATATATATATATATATAAAATATATATCTATGTATGTGTGTGTGTCAGTGTATATATATATATTATTTTTTTTACCAAGGAGTTTGATTGTTATATAGATGTGTATTTTTTCCCTGCCTTTCAAAAGGAAATGAAATTTCATGCTACATATTAGATATCCTTAGGACTATTTAGTGCTTTGTTTACACGCTGACCGTGAAAACAATATTAATTTGCAGGCCCATTCAGTCTCAACAAATTAAAACATGCCATCCAATCTAGTTATGGATTGAAGTTAATTTCACTCTTGACGCTTGCTTAAATAGCGTATAAATTACTTTTCTTGCTGCTTTGACAATTTTTCCTGCTTCTTAAAGCTGTTACGTGTTTTCCTTGCATAGACTTTTCCTTTCTGTTGCTCTTAAAAATCTATCTGATGTAAATAGTAGTTATATTATCTTGCAGTCCTGATTTTAGGAGGCTCTAGCTTATAATTTAGGACACTGCATCTTTTTTATTTATTTATTTTAGTTATTTGGGGGGGGGTTGTTTTATAACTTCTCTAATTGAATTTTTGTTCATGTAAATATGAAGAATATTCCTTTCTTGCTAGTATGTATATGAGAGACTTTTTACAGCTCTCTTGTAAGATTGATAAAGCTTGCAGTATTTGCATTGTGGGATTCATGTCACTGTTTTTAAAGATTATGTTTTGCTGCTGATATTTGGCAGGAAAAAGTGGGCTAACATTATAGCACACAAGTTTTAGGATAATTACATTTCTGGCTGTACCCATTATACGGCACTGAAATGGGTGTCATAGAGGTGGCACAGAACATCTGTTATAAGAGGGACTGAAGCATACGCTGCACAGGTGCCTGTCAGGAGTGATGCCTTTGATCCCATTTTGGAGCTGCACTTGGTGATCCTTGCTGTGAGGTTCTCCACTGCTTCTCCTGTGGAACAATAGCCACAGGATTGAAAACAATCTTGGAGATCATGCCAATAGACACACTTGTTAGGGTATATCTGAGGGAAAAAGAAAAGTTTAGTATGGCCTTTTATTGAAGCTTTGCAGTGAGCAACTTTCCTGTGTTCACAGGTATGTTCACGTATCACAAGGACTCGCACTGTCACTGGTTCAGCAGCTTTAAGTGTGACAACTACTCGGAATTCCGGCTGGTGGGCGCTGTATCCTTTCGCCTTAGCTAGAAGGTGCTGTGTGAACAGGTGTTATTGAGCCCTTACCCAGCCCAGCGGGCACCAAGAGCTGCTGCCACCTCCTCCTCATGTCGCCTGCACAAGGATGCTCCACTTGGAACTTGTAAAAGAATGTCATTCAAGCAGGAGAGCTAAAAAGAGGAAGAAACTCGTACTCCCATATGTGTATGGGTGTGTGGTACAGCTTGCAGGAAGAAATTGCTTGAATTAAGATTGCAAGAGCAACTTCTCACACGTGCAGTCATTTTTCTACATAGTTAGGTTTTCAGGGTCATTCGGTAAGCATCAGTGACCCTGTGTACATCAGTGTTCATTAATTCATTTAAATCTCTGTTATCAGCCTGTGTGTTTGGGGCTGGGACATTGACTGAGTGGAAGCCAAATGCTGTCTTGAGCATAGGTTTATTTCCTAGGGTTTCTGTTGTGCCAAATGGCGAAGTTTTAGCAATAGAAAGCTGAGTCAGACCTATTGTGCTAATTTTTGGTGTAATTCAAATTTCTACTATGAATTGTTAGCTCAGGTAACTCATTATTTAATGTTTTGATATACCTTATTTAAACAGCATAAAGGACATGGAAGGGATTGCCTCATTTATCAAGAGATATACTGAAGTCATTAATTAGCATAGGTATGGGGCAAAAGGGACCAAACTGGATGATTCATCTCCTTAATTGAAACTAATTGAAAATTCTGCTGATTTTGTGTTTGTTTTAGATAATTAATATTTGTGACAGTGTGGGATATTTCTTGAGTTTAAGTTGCTCTCGATATGAAGCCAAAACAGTTGGGCTGTAATTGCTGGCAGCAAAAATACAAGTCTGGGTAGAGAAAACAGTTTACATACAAGGGTTTTTTTTGTTTGGTGTGTGTGTGTTGTGTTTTTTTTTTAAACTAGAATAGTGTCTTGTTCTCTCCCACTCCTATTTCCACAAACTCTGTGGATATGATGTTTTGTCAGATATTTTTAAATGGGCTCATTGATGAACTGTAGTGCCAGCACAGGCACTTTTATGGTTTTAATTTTATTCAAAAGAAAAATTACTTTTTCTGTCCCTCTGGAATTTTTGGATTAAAAATCTGTATCTATAATTATACTTTTTCTATCGAAACAATTTTTTTAATCAAAACAATACTTTGAAATAATGGCTTCAGGAAATACTTTTATCAGACATTATAATGAAAGATTTCAAATGATTTTTTCAATGTACATAACTTGACTGCTTTAATTATTACCTAATGGAATATAAAATTGTGTTGAAAGGAATGTCAGTCCAAGAAACTTACATAACTTCTGTCCGTTTATTTAGCATGTGTTAGAGTATACTCAGGAGATATTAGAATATATTTTCCAAGTTAATGAAAATATTAACTGCAGTAAGGATGCCAGTTTTTCTTCCCTTAACCTTTGACCTGTGTAGCTTATGGGACTTGCTGTATACAACAGCATCACCTTGGATATTCGTTTCCCACCTTGCTGTTACAAGAAACTGTTGAGTCCTCCCATTGTTCCCTGTGATCATAATACACTTGTAGGCATCTGTGATGTTACATTAGAAGACCTGATTCAAGTTATGCCAGTAAGTATTAAGTGTTTCAGAGGCTAAATTACTATTTAGTTTGTCTTATTTAACTTAATGCATGAATCATAGACAGCTTCACAACAGCCACTTAATTTGCACTGACTGATAAACGGTCTCCCTTTTTCCATTGAACACAGAAATTCTCCACCTTCTTTAGCATGGTAGAATTTTGTAAGATATGCTTTACCTAAAGTTAGAGTACCAAAGTTCAGCATGAATGTTCTGGACTTATTTTCCATACTGAAAAGGAGAATTAAGGGAAATTTAACAGCTTAGATTGAAATTAAAGGGAGAAAAAAAAAACACCCTTCTTTTAAAGGCACTGTGTGATATGGGGTTTTTTGTATGCATAAACATTTTGAAAAGCACTTCCCATCCTGCCCAAGACTGTTTGTATGGAATAATAATTCTGATAGGCCCTTTTAAAGCACATCCTTTAATGTTGCAAGCTTACTAAAGGATTTTTACTGTTTTTTACTGTTACTGTAGGAATTGGCTCATGGACTAAGTGAACTTCTAGCCTATGAAGGCAATGTTGAAGAGGATTTTTACTCAACCTTTCAGGTCATTACATACATGGCTATTAAATGATTCTTAAACCACTTCAGTAATTTGTAAACAGTATTTCTGTGTTTCTGCAGAGGCCCACAGAGCGTGCTGGCTGATAGTGGGACACAAAGCCCCACAAAGCTGGGATGAAAGCTCCAGCAGAGCCCTCGGGGCTTTGCGTGGATGGCAGCCACCCCATCCCGCAGGGCTTCAAGGCTGTTCAAGTCAGTCCCAGCATTGACTGCCAGGTTCCCATCCCGTTGATGGTGCATTTCCAACCATTTCTAGCTTTTACCTTCCTATGACACCATCACCTTGCAATCCGTGACTTTGTCCCTGGAATTGTTGGAAGTTGTAATGTTTAATTAAAAAAAAAAAATCCTTATAGTTGCTATATGCTCTAAACAGAGAAACAGATTAAATATTTATAGTAGTAAAGCTTTGTCAATTGTGAGCATATGAACTTTTCTCTGGCACTGAGCTTAAATCCTCTTTCCCCAGGTTTTTCAGGAAGAATTTGGTGTTATAAAATCTTACAACCTAAAGCCAAATGGAGACAAAATTCCAGTTACAAATCAGAATAGAAAAGGTACTTACAGTACATATTAATTACATACAATTTATCCCTTTATATTTTTATGTTTTATTTAACAATGTGTGAAACTGAAGTTCTTGAAATTCTTAAATTCTTAAAATTCTTTCTGGTATACCTACCAACTTTACTAGTATATTAACAATATCTAGATAATATGCATTCATTTCTATAAATTAAATGAATTAGTACAACAAATTTGAATTAGTACAACAAATGATCGTCTGCAGCTTTTATATAACAACAAAAATGTTTTTCTTTTTAGAATATGTGCAGCTTTATGTTGATTTTCTTCTCAACAAATCAATCTACAAACAATTTGCAGCTTTCTATTATGGATTTCATAGTGTCTGTGCTTCATATGCGCTACTGGTAAGCATAAAGTAAAGCATAATTTTTCATTTTGTTTTCAGTCGTGTAAACATGTCTAAATGATGCAAGTTACTCTCAGTAACTCCAGTGGTTGTTTTTAGGGTTCATAAAGAAACTTTGTTTTGGTTCTGAAGAGACACGGGTTCAGACATAGGCTCAACAATAAAAACTGCAGAAAAAACTATCAGAAATCTTACAAGAGAAAAGGGAAGATAACAAAGTAGTAAAAGCGATAGATTGAGAACACTATTTATCAGCAATGTGCTTGCAGAATAGAGTAGGGGAGATCAGTGTAACACACTAGACCACAGCCAAGGTAGGCCTAACTACTTTTTAAGAATAGAATTCCATGTTTGTAGGATGTGTATAATGCACTGGGAGCAGGTCTGCAAGCATCGCAGGAGTCCAAGAACAGAAATAATTAAGCAGGCAATGAACTGATACCTAATGATCCTGTAGAAATGGATAAAAAATGTCCACCAATTATTTTGTGTTGAACAGCATGTGTTTGCTGACAGTTCACAAGCTCTCATGTGACCATTCACAAGGATTCTGTGTGTTGCTACAGTCCCAAGCAGTAAAGCTCCCAACACCCATGGTACATTCTGCAGGAGGAATAATCAGAGACTGATGATAGATTCTTGTGTATCCAGTCCTATTTGGCTGTTGGTGTATCTTTTATATTTTACATTGTTCCTTGTGCAGTAAGAAGAGAAGGAAGAAGCGATTATAATTTGCATGAGAATTTCTGCATTCCTGTGAAATTAGCCAAATATGACACACTTGCAGCAAACTGAAATGTGACGAACTGCAAGGAAGTTTCAGGAAGGAGGCTGAAAATCCATTGAAATGCCATGAAGTACTTTCATGCAGCTTAACAATATTGTAGTAAATGATTAAGAAGTAGGTTCTGCTAGTGTAAGTTTAGCAGTCATTTAACATGCTTTATTGTTTTTATGTATTGCCATTGCACAGTAGTGTTCATGATGAGGAATCAGGTACCCTCTGCCAGTACTCCTCAACAATCCTCTTTGGGTGTAATTAGAAGTTGTAGAAGAAAAGAAAAAAAAAACTTTGTGAACGCCAGATATACAAAACCGTTTTTCTTCTTGACCATTTGTAATCCAACTGAAAGAGAAACAAGTCAGTGTAATAAATGTAACAATGGTAAAGAAATGAGAGACAAGAGAAATATGCTAAAATATGTTTTCCAGTAACTTTGCGTTTTACTATATATGTAGCAAGGCATTCATCAATATCTAGATTTTTTTTATGAAACAATGTCAGATAAAAGTTAGAAATTTATCTTTGAATACTATTAAATTTCTGTAGTGCTAGCAAAGTATCTTAAATATTTTTTGTCTAAATCTTGTATCATCACTTTTCATCTTTAACAAAGATTACATATTTTGCAATTATTTTTTGACAGCTGCTTCGTCCAGAAGAGGTTGAAATTCTTGTTTGTGGTAGTCCTGAACTGGATATGTCTGCTTTACAACGAAGTACCCAATATGAGGGATACCAGAAAACTGATCTTACTATACGGTAGACTCTTTTTTTTTTTCTTTCTTTTTCTTCCTCATTCTAAATACTGAATTTTAAAACATATTAAAATGGTAGACTGTTGGGAATAATCTCTTCTTTAAATATAGTCTGAGAATGAATCATAAATGATTGAAGCTTTAAAAATGTGTTTCCAAATAAGACAAAACGACATAATTTATCTGCAAGAAGGAACGTTTAGAGCTTTAATGATATAATGTGCTGCTGGGTATCTTTAGAAGGATATAACCAGATTGAATTGAAAGGAGTCAAAAAGAACAGTAGTTTCAAAATCCTGCGTGATGAAATCATATTCAGTCTTCTAAAAATGCCTTTCTCTTCCAATGCTACTTGACACTTAGGATATTTATAATAGTAGGAGAACGCTTATTTTTCATAGGTAAGTGGTTTGGGGCATCATTGCAAAATTCATAGTGGTGTGTGTGTCAAATGCCCAGGATTTTTTTCAAACCTTTACATATTAGGATAGCGCTGATGTCCTACTTTTTAAACTTCTTATTTAAAATTCATCATATAATATTTGCAGTCCTATTGATCTCCTGCTTTGTCAGGATATTTCATTGCACCATTTTATTCTTACTCTCTCTTGGATATAGATACTTTTGGGATGTAGTACTTGGATTTTCTCTTGACCTTCAAAAGAAGCTGCTGCATTTTGCTACAGGAAGTGATAGAGTACCTGTGGGAGGGATGGCTGATCTGAATTTCAAGATTTCAAAGAGTGAAACATCCACTAATTGGTAAATAATTTTCTGGATTTTTTAAAAAATTTCATTTTTAAATTATTTCCTGAAGAGTCCTTGTTGCTCTTGAATACTTTAATAGAAGAAAAAGAACAAAAACAACAAAAAATAGCCTGTAAGAGAGAAAAACGGGACAGTCTCTCCTAGCTGTTGCCAAACCCATTTATTGAATAGCTATAGTTAGCAGATGATTATCTAATACAAAATCAATTCTCCAGGCAGTATTTTGGAGCCTAGGAATTACTTATTTATGAAGATTTTCCTTACATGTCTTCAGTACAAAGAAACTATTAGCTTTAGTGTTCCTAGCATGACAGCTGAGTTAATTAAAATACTCTGTGAATCACCATAATTTTTTCTGAAATCATTGAGTCTGCTTGTCATAATGAATAGCAGCCCATGCAGCTGCAGAAAAACATTTACGTTTTTTCTTGACGGGCTAAATAAGGACTTTAACATGTATGACTAGTAAAGACGTAGTGTTCCTTTATGGTCTCTGGTGAGTAAGTGAATTGCTAATGCAGAGGTTGCTCCTATGCTCTAGGAACAAAGCAGCCTATAACTTCATTGTGAAAGTAAAATTGAAGTCCCTGACAAGTACTTAGGTTTCTGGTGGTGTTTTATTTTGTATTGAAGTGAAATTGAAAAAATTCCTCATACGTTCCAGTTAATATATTCCCTCTCAAGAATGGAGGAACTTTGGAAAGCTGTCTCCAAGAGTAACTGGTTTTGAAGCTTCCTCAGCAAAAACTTCTGGCTTACCCTCCTTTCCCAGGCTTGCAATATAGTTCCTTTTAAGTGTTTTTATTATGTTTCTCCAGAAGGTCACAATTTTGATAGTTTTCCTTAAAGACCTGAGCGATGTACATGCCATCTCCATTTTTGTTTTAAGTATTGTTTATATCATTGCTGAAACTTTATTCAAGTAACTGCACCAGTACGTTAAATGAACGTAAGAACATGATTTAAAAAAAAATAAGAATCTTTGAATTTGCTTAATTTTACTCTATTGTTACTTGTTGCTTTTCTTGAAAGTGGAAGAATGTGTGTGAGTAGTAAGTGTGCTAGAGCTGTGCAGGTCTGTGTGCCGCAAGGCAAACCTTGCAGACCAGGAAGGCTGGCTTCAGCCAGGCAGGATGAAGAGATTTGTACACATATCTGCAAGCTCAGCTTTCAGGAGAGTCTAGCACGTTCAAAAATTGGTTTGACTAGGACCAAAATTTTGGAACTCTTGTTTTTGCAGTGATTCAGTGAGCTCCTCAGTGCATTGCACTGACATATATGTCTGTAGGGATGTATAGCACCAGGCTGAACTTCCAGCTTTCCGTATCCTTACAGTCACTCTGGTCTGTCTGGCTGTGTCCATGCTTACTCCATGCTCCATTTCATTCGTCACATTATGGATTCTGATTATTCCAAATTTATTACTGAATATTTTATATGACGAGAATGTGTATTATATGGCAAGCATCTCTAAATTCAGAGAAGACCTGATTTTAAGTATTTGAAGTTGTGTGGTTACTTGGAGTTTGGAAAATCTGTAAGGAATGGTTCCAACTTAACCAAAAAGAAGAAGCGGAGGGGAATGGGATTACAGGCAAAGAAACCAGGCCGAGCACCTGAGGCACAGGTGACTGACAGTAGTGGTCACTATATTTATATCATAAATATTCATCCTAGCATTACTCTTCAAGTTATTTTATAAGGTTTCTTTTTAAGGTAATGTTTAAATGGAAAGGTGTAGGTAAGTGATGGTCCTGCTTTTCTTGTATTATTATTGAGGGTTTTTTTGTTTATTTTTTTTAAGGTTACCTGTGGCCCATACCTGCTTCAACCAGCTTTGTCTCCCTCCTTACAAGAACAAGAAAGAGCTGAAGCAAAAGTTGATAATTGGCATTTCAAATGCAGAGGGGTTTGGTCTAGAATGAGAGAAAGTTCTGCAAGAACAGCGTTTTTATGTAGCATTCACTCTCTTCTAATTGTGCCTTTAAGCTTTTCATTGTTGTCTCTTGATACTGTGCAAATCTTACCTGACTTTTTTAAATTAAATATGAAGTGTGTGGGTTTTTTTGCTGTATAGCAATACATTTACTGCTTGCTTTGTTAGAGAGTATTCTTCCAACAAAAAGTTGATATATTTGTTTAAGAAAAAAAAAAGACTAAAGCAAGTTCTAAGTTATAGCTCATTCCTGGTGATTCCTAATAGCACTTTATCATTATCCATAATTACATCATATGTATCCCACTGGGAAATAACATACAGAATATTTCTTGATTAACTAATCCCAGTGACAGAATGTCTTCAATTAACAACAGTAGAGTGTAACATACAGCATGTAGCCATATTTTCACAAAGGCAAATAGGAATTTTAATCTTTATAAAATGTATGCAGTTTTAATATTATGGTTTTCATTCTCAGTTAAACAAGCTAAGAAGCATGTAAATAACTGCCGGTAAACAAATACAGTTTTGATAGTGTCATTTACTGCTAAAAGTTTATTTTTTATTAATAAGAGGTTTTAAATGTTCTATATTCAGCTTTTACAGATCAGCAGGATTGACTGTACATGGATGTTAAAAGGTAATTTTCAGGTTAAGTGGATTCAAGGTCAAACTGCAGGTACTGAACAATTTCTGTGTTACTCCTTTCAGATTTACTGTAGTTTCATAGAGTAAACAAAAGCAGATATTTAAAATAAATTCCTCCTATTAAAATATTTGGGGAAAAGAATGAAATCTGCAGCAGAATTAAAAAAATGGAATATATGTATCACGCTGTCATTCATTCAGCAACTTTGAAAGTCTTAAGCTGTAACATAAATGAATACAGTAACATTCCAGCAGAACATTGAAGACTTCATTAGCTTGAACCCCCCAAAGCCATTATTTTATAATGGCTTGAACCTCCATTAGCAACCCCTGAAGCCTATATTTTTTAGTTTTCCTGGCACAAACTAAATTTAAAAAAAAGAAAAAAAAAAAAAAAACAGTATGCCTGTTGAGAGTTAGGAAACTAGAAGCTGGGGAAAAGAGGGTTCTAAAATACTGATTTATTAAACAGAATTTATTAGCATGCAGGGTAATGGATTTTTCATATAAAAAGTTACTGTGTGCTCTATAGATTATTTCAGCTGAATGATGCCTAGATCAATCAAGGTACTTAGGCATCTAACTTGTCAGCTTTCCCAGTTGACTTCTACCTGAAGTTGGATGCTCAAGTATTATTTAGTGTCTGTAGTCAATTACTTATTTTCAACAACAGCAACATATCTCTTGTTTTCCCTTTATTTGCATACAGCCAACAGTTTTTCCCATGATGAACAAATTAATTTGTCTCAACTGCCTAAACCCTAAATTGTGGGTTTAGCCCTTGTGTGTTTTCTTATATAGTTAAGGGTAAATTTAACTTTATTCTCTTAACCTAGAGAAGGCAACGATGCTTTCATTAATTTATTAAGTAGAGGCAAATAGTGGGATACTTCAAAATAATTGACGTATTAATTGTACTCTTATTGAAATAAATACTAGAATTCATCGACTTGAGCTTGGATCAAAATTAAGATAGCACTGTGTTAAAAGCAGCATTTCAAAATTGGGAACTGTATACAGTTTCTTTCAAAAATAGAGATTTTAAAATAGATTTCAATTTGCAGGAATTGAGATGTTAAGGAAATGAAATTTTCACCATTGCACTGAATGAACTAGGCAGAAATTTAGAATTGCTTGAACCTAACAGCAGAAGAGGATGTAGATAAGAAATCTGGAAAAAGCAACTCCCTTTCCCCCTCCGTAGAGCTGGAATTGTGGAATGTTGGCTCATGAATAGCTATACAGTTATCTGAAAACAAGGCACATTAGCCAAAATATTTTTTTATGGCTTAAGCCCAATTTTAATAACTATTTATCTATTATTGTTAAAACAAAAGCTTTATCTTATTTCCACTGAATTGCACTGTCTTGGGTTTAGTTTTATTTATTAAAGCTTTTTGATTTACTGTGTAATATTACCTCAGAATTCTACAAAGGCTATTGTATTCGCATAGGTTTTTAAATAAGATACTATCATGTAATGACATTTTATATATTTCCTGATGTTAATAAATTAAATAGTAGGTTTTGTATTTGTTAAATGAAAGCATTGAACTTATTTATGAAATAAGCCTCTGATCACTTAAAAATTTTCCTGAATGACTTTTTTGTTGTCCTTCTGTGTTGCCCTGTAATTCAGCAATTCTTTTTATCTCCATTATTGTTTTGTACCGTACAAGAGAAATCTGGTTTGTATAAATTTGTTCATTATTTAGTATCTATTTTTATGTATTAAAATTGTGCAGTTGTTAAATCAAACATTGCCATTTTGGGTCGTATTTAATTTCATATTTCCAAAATTGATCATAATAGACTTGAAAATCTGATTTGCCATCATTTTCAGCTGTCCTTGCTTAAAGGATGCTTTGACTCCATTGTAATGTGCTCATATTAACCCAGGAGAAATGCATCTATTTTCACTAGGGTAAAGATACTAAGGATCCTGATAACTGCTACGACATTATAAATAATGTAGTCTTTGCTGGTACAAGTTAGGCAATAGCTGTAGACAGTATCGGGAGAAAACTGTTTGTAATTGTGGTGTTTATATCATTCTTGTCAATAAATGAGTTGGCCTAGTATACATATACCAAGTAGTCTAGAATACACACAGATTTTTTATTTTACATCAGAAATTTTACGGCAGAGAGCAGGACCTGTGAGTGGTCTGTGCCCTGGGTAATTAATATAGCTGGATATATGTATTAATATAGCCAAAGCACAATTGTATTGAAGGCAGTGTGGCTAAAAAATGTGTAGATCTTGGTCTTGATTTTGTCTTTGTCTCCTAGTTAGTTTAGGTAACCTGGCACACCTGATTTTCAAAGAGTGCAGTAGCAGCTTTCACGCTGCTTTGGGAGGTGAGGAGGTACAATAATTGACCCGGAAAGATGGGTAGATATTATCAGTAACATCGGTCATGCTGAGAAGAGAAGGCATTGATATTATCATCATACTTATTTCCCCTCCAAGGAGTCTTTTCACAAGGCTATCTGGAGTTCAAAATGAGGGGTATCCAGCTCACATATTCTCTGATACTAAATGCATCTTATTCATTGTTGCATGTTTTGCTTAGAAAAAGTAATCCACCATGGTGGAGATGGATGCTATACAGCCTCCATAAAACAGAATGGCTTCGATATATGAGAAAAAGCACAGGATCCCATATTTCTCCAATATGGGTTAAGATAAGCCAGCTAGCTTTTAGTTTTAAATGAACAATCTCTAGCTCTTTGAAGTCTCTATTAAATAAGCTGTATATCAAGCCCCATTTAAAAAAAAATAAAGAAGAATGCATTGCACTTTTTTTGCTTTACCAGTTTTTAGTGTTCTATTTAGCAAGCTAAACTTGGGATAGATTAGTATTTCTTTTAATGCTGCAGTTTTTCTGTGGAAAAGTCTTCTCACAGAGCTTAAGGCTTACATTTCTTTGAAGCCATCTACTGGTTGTGAGAGAACTGCCCTCTTTTTTTTTGTTTAGAATATAGAGTAAGGTGGCTGTCGAGATTTTCTTTTTAAAGTTGAAATAAACTAGAAGTAAACTAAAAAGTTAAAACAGGTTGGAGTGACTGGATTTTTTGTTGTTGTTGTTGTGTGAGGTCTTTTCTTTTTGGAAGTTGACAACTTCACCCATCCGTTGGCTTGGCAGGGTACAGGTAAGAGAACTACTAAGCAATAATTAATACTATAATAATAAAGCAATGATTGATATTATAGAATGTAAAGGTAAAATATCTAAAAACTTTTCAAAACTTTCAAAAAAAGCTTTTTTTTTTCTTTTTAATGAACTACTCTTACACAATGGCATGTAACCAAAAAGGAGTGATGCAACAGGAGCAGGTTAAATATTAAACTGTTACTTCAGGAGTTTTTTTTTCTCTGTCCCATCTACTAATTCCCAATGTGCTAAATGTATTGGTGTGCATTATTTCTCTTGTATCTGTTTGCAGTGGGTGCATTTCCTATACTGCATTTAAGAATGTGAAGATCTCATTCCTTGTGGCATTTTTCATAGGTGTTAAAAAGAAAAACATACCCCCTTTCTAGTCCTGGGGAAGCTGCAGGTTAAAGACTCATCCCATAGCTTATTGTGATTTATGGATTGTTTTTCCCTCTCCTTTTCAGTGTAGAACTTGGTTTTACTGTGTGGGGTTTTTTTTAAGACATAGGTAATTTAAGGGACCTTAAGAGACTTCTTTCTTCACAAGTGAATTGTCTCTTGCAGTACCCTTCCATAAATCAGAGTGATTCTAATGTTAATAAAGGAGAATGAGTTGTGCGTCAGGGCTGTAACTCACTCTTGTAAAGGCCTTTGGTTTTGAAAGAATAGTTGGAGGTTGTGGGGAGGGTGGTGATGGGAGAGTTTTGTGTCCATTTGGCCCCTTCTGGGTCCAGCTCATCCCTGTTTTCTTGAGGGTCAGTCCAGTAGCTCTCAGCCTTACGCTCTTTCCTTCCCCTGTGTTACTGTCGTTTGACTTTCCCAGCATGGCGGCCGGCGCTCTGTGGCAGAGCGCGTCCCTCCCGCTCCGTCCAGCCTGCCCCCTTGCTCGCAGCGACCACCCCAGAACCGCTGCACCCAGCCGGGCCCGACCCTCCTCCAGAGCGTGCCAAGCTCCTGCTTCGGAGAGGAACTGAAGGAGCCAGGCAGAGGATACAGTTACCCAAACTGCACAAGGCCCCTCTAGGAGAGGTACGTGCAGGGCAGCCCTGTGCGTTTCAGAGCAGTCGATATTTGGATCTCTTCTTCCTAGTTCTCATGACTAGCTAAAAGTTATCAGGCTCCATCTACAATCGTCTGAATCTCATGTGACCAATATAGACCATACAAAATCCCAACTTCTTGCACAACAGTTAGTTAACTAACATCGGTGTTCAATCTGGCTTTATTGACCAATTTTTTAACCAAGCCTGATTTAAACAGTCCAAGTTTAAATAGTCTGAGTTCTTGGTGTTTGCTCAGCTGGCAAGGCCCAGGCTGCTGCCCTTGCAGCCGTCTCTGGCCAGGGAAGCACTCGGGATCCTGCGTTCCTCAGCGTTACAGCCGCCCTTGCTGAGGTTGCAGGGAGCCTTCCCTGAAGCCCTTTAAGCCTTCACGGTTTTTCCCTTTGCAATTACTACTGCTTGTAAATGTCAGCAGACCCTGAAAGCCAGACACCAGCTGAAGCTCTCTGAGTATCTTGCCTCTGTATTCTCTATTGGAATTCCGTTTTGCTAGAAATTAGTAAATGGACAGGAACAAAGGAATTGCAATGTAGATTTATTACTAAACTGATGAGATTAGTGACTTGATATTCACCAGTCATTTCTTTTAGAGATAGTTATCAGGAAAAAAAGAAGTTTATCTGCTTTTTTACCTTCATTTGTTCATGTTTTCAGCAGTGGACTCTGTTTTCGGGACAAATTGAGTTGTCCTAAGAACATCATAAATGCTATATCCTAATGTGCTAATTTCTTTTCAGTTAACCATCTTTAGTTACATCTAGATATCTCTGTAGTGATTTCAAGTCAACTTGCGCCTTTATGTCTTTTTCACAACAGAGGTTAAGGTGGAAAATGTGAAGCAAGAGATTCTCACAGTTCAGAAGGATCTACTTCCTACTGCCAAGTGACTAGCCAGGTGGCTGCCAACTGTAATTAAGCTTTTTAATCAAGTTAGGAAATCACAGCTTGGAAATGTGATGTGTTGGTATTGCAATTTCTTTTGTCTTAATTACAGCAGGTTAAAAGGTGAAGCTTCTACAGCAAAGACTATCTTGGAGCTTTCTGTTAGTTCATAAGAGTTAGTGAAGAATTTTGCCATAGCTCGTCAAGTGTGAAAATGGTGGTATCAAAAACATGCAGGAAACAGTTGCTTAGGTTAAAGCTTCATTTTACACTTACCGAATTATTTTTTCAAATAATCTGAATAAAGAAGTCTTACGTTATAATATGTACTGACAGAACAAATAAATTCTTTGGAACAGGGATTTAATAGATTTTAAAGGGAAATAAAAAGTGCTGAGTTACTAGCTTCACTTTCAATAACTGTATTATGTATTATAACAATATTCTGTTCCTTCTGTCTTCAAGGCATTGGGGAAGTATTTATTGGTGAACATTATCTGTTACTGTGTTTATTGACAGAGAAACTACAAATTTTCCACTGCTGGGGAAAGCAATTTTGCATCCTGATCACAATTAGGTGACCTAAATTTTTTTGTAAACCTCTTGCCCTTTTCATCAGTGTAATGCACTGCAATCAATTTCAGGGTATAGATTTATACATGTTCAGGTTAAACATTAATATTAGGGGGGAAAAAAGATCAAAATGGAAACCACTATCATATATTTAATCTGAAATGTATCTCTGTCCTGAATGTTCACACAGGAGCCAAAATGTGTAGTGATGTTATTTTTTTGAAATGCCCTTAGTAAATGCATTTAACTCTTTCCTGAGTCCCTCAACTCCTTTTTAGCACAGGTAGTTTGTGAAGTGAAAATCACACAGAACTGAACCACATATTTGCAACTCACCTATAATCAAAAAAAGTCAAAAAAAAGGGTTTTTTTTTGGGTTTTTTTTTTTGTGGTTTAGAGTGGTAGGGTTTTTTGGGTATTTTGGGCTTTTTATTTGTTGTTGGTTTTTTGCCTTTTTTTTTTTTTTTTTTTTTTTTTTTTTTTTTTTTTTTTTTTTTTTTTTTTTGGTCAGTTTCTCAGACTGACCACAAGCAGAACCCAGGATTACTTTTGGTGAAGGGAATTGAAAAACAAGAGGTAACTCTGGGTCAGTGTTCTACTCTGTAACCAGTACATGTCTTTAGCATTAGCTACAGCATCTAGCTTAAAGGCTTGTTTCATTCATGAGGGATTTTTTTTTTTGCCTTTTTTTTTAGCAGATTTGTCCAATTTTTGCAACAAGAGGAACAAGTGTATCAGAGGTTATTAGTTGTGATAAATATGTGTAA